CCAGGGTCTGTGCCTGGCTATCACGGATGTGTCATCTAACTTCTATCATTTATCTATCTAGCTATCTATCCACCTATCTATCATCTACCTCTAGTACCTATCACCATCACCTGTTATGTGCCTATCTATCGTCTATCAAGCACCTGTCCATCAGCATTTCCCTGTCATCCTCTGTCCGTCTGTCCACTATCATCTTACACATCTATCATCTGTGTGCCTCTGTTTACCTTCTGGCCTGTCTCCACACTGAATCCTCTTGAATGACCCTGCCCTGGCTCTTGTGACCACGCCGACTGGCTGTCCCATGCCCCCTGGATGGCCCAGTCCTCACGCTGTGACTCTACACCAGGTGGGGCTCCACCCAGGGAGAGACCTCATCCCCCACCCCCAACAGTGGGCTCAACCCCAGCGCCATGTCCTTCTTGCCCAGGGTCACTGGGTGGACCCTTCCTGGGTGTGTGACCATGTGCCACTGAGGACCCAGCGTGCAGGATGGATCCCCTGCCCTGTCGCCCCTCTGGGGAGGTGTAGGGAGGCAGGAAGTGATGTCAGAGGGCAGCAGGAGGGGTGTTACAGGGAGGCCTGGGTGGAAAAGGCTGAGCCCAGCGCCACAGGAGGAGTGGTGCCCTGGGGTGCACACCTGAGCGTGTGAGGGGTGCCTGGGCTGGGCCGCTCTGCGGACATCAGCTCTCGGGCAGTGAGGCGGGCCTCTGAGGCAGCACAGGGGACCGAGTGGCCAGGCTTGGGTTCCTACAGGCATGGCCTGAGGAGCCAGGGGAGCTTAGCCAGATGGTGGCATGGGGACAGGGCTGGGCTGAGCCACTGTGGGCAGTGCCCATGGGCACAAGGAGGACAGGCCAGATCCTGAGGTGGCATCAGACCCAAGGGGCAGGGAGTGAGTGTCACTGGACTGGGCTTGGGGCCCCCGATGCTGTGGTCATGGGCTTGGGCACGGCTGAACTCTGGGGAGAGCGTGGCTTCAGCTGGGGTGCTGGCACAGTGCCACCCACACACAGCTCACTGTGTTGGCAAATGGAAGGAAGGCATATGGGCTGGTGGGCACGGTCTGAGGGGCCCTGGGGCTCACTCAGATCTACAAGACCCCAGTCCAGCTTCTGAGCAAAGGTCGCCCTCCGACAGAGACCCTGCACCTCCCCAAGCTCTGTTTCCGGCCCTGTGCTCACCCTGCCCTGCAGGGAGATTCTGGGAGCTGAACAGCACCCCACAGCCACGGCCCCGTCCCTGAGCTGTTGGTCTGTCGCCCCACCCGGGCGGCTCTGGGGCCACAGAGGCTGAGCCAGGATGGACAGTGGCCCTGGTGCCCATGTCAAGGTCCTCTCTGCCCCAGGGACCGTTGGCCTGGGCCTGAGAGCTGCCACCCTGGCACCCGGGCATTGGGCCCTGCAGGGCTCTGTTGGGGGACACTAGAGCAGTGCCCCGATAGCTCTTAGGAGTGAGGGGATTTGGCTGTAACCCACCAGGCAGGGCGAGGAGGAGGCTTGGGGTCCCCAGGGGTTCTGGTCCTAGACACGCTGTGGTGAGGATTTCCCACCCTGGAGCGGCCTGGGTGGGGCTCAGCTGCAGGCCTTGCTGCACCCTGACCATGCTACGCTCTCAGCCGCGGCCTCTGTTCCACTTAGATTTATGACACTTGGCTGCACTCGTTTGTGTAAGCTGTCCCAAGTGCTGCCTGGACAGAGGCCAGGTACGACCAAACAAATAAAAGAACAATCAGGTCTTTGGACTTAAACACTTCGGTCGATTTGCTGACAGGGAAAGAAAAACCTCACTCTAAATGCCAGGTGAGGCTTCAGCGCCACAGCTGAGAGACCAGATTGAAGCCGTGCCTCTCCTGCTGCTTGTGGCCAGGGCTTTCCCTGCCAACTCAGGGGGGCTCCTGGGGGCTCCCCTCTGGGGTCGGCTCCTCCCGCAGGCAGGGCTGGTCCCTGCAGGTTCCTGCTTTGGCGGTTTCTTTGCCCCGTTGGAAACGTGTCCTGGCGTGGAGCTGGGTCAAGGTGCTCTGTGTTTCTGGGGAGGTGTGCGTGTCCCGCCTGGTCGTCCACCCGCCCTGTGGCTGTTGGAGAGGACCGGGCCCCTCTGCGTCTCTGAAGTCAGGGGCTGAGTGACCTCAAGTCTCTGCTGTCTAAGGTTGGGGAGCCGATGGCCCTTGTAGGAAAGTGCGGTCTTCTTGGCGAGGGACAGGTACGAGGTCAGGTGCCGCTCGCCTTCGTGGACTGCGTGGCGGTCACGGTGGGCTCTGGGGGCAGACAGCTCCAGGCCGTGGAGTAAAGGACCTCACGCTTGCGTCCTAGGGAATGCTCACGTGGCCCATGCGAGGGGCGTTCTCTGCTATTGGGGCGGGAGCGCACAGCTGCCCACGGTCACCCGCAGCTGGGCCAGGGTCAGGGAGGCCTGTATGCCGACCACTGGCCAGGCTCTGTGTCCCCTCCCCAGTGGCTGCTCATGGCACAGATAGGTGACCGTGTCGGATCACTGTGAGGGCGTAGCGCAAGGCGCCATCGTAACTGATTATTTTTGTACTCAGCACGGAAAGGCGAGTCCAGAAACAAGCCCTAATGTGACAGTCAAGTGAAAATATTTTGAGTAGGCTAATGAGTGGAGATGCTCTCCAAGCTGCTGCTCGTTGCTGTGGCGGGTACTGACGAGGAGAGGCCGCCTCGCTGCCGTGCTGGCCCGAGCGCCTCACCTTCCGGTGGGCACGGGCAGAAGACCCTGGGAGCGCTCAGCCTTCCAGAGGCCTGAGTTCTGGTCCCGGGCTGAGGCCACCGCGAAGAGGAGCGTTTGCCCCAGGGTCCGTTCTGTGGAGCAGAGTGGGAGCTGTGCCTGTCAGTGCTCAGCGTGGGGACACGCCCCGCACGGGCGCCTTTCCTGCTGGGGACATGGTTCGGCCTGCGCGGCAGAAGGGGTGGCGTGGGCCTCCCAGAGGGGTCACAGCCATGTCCGTGAGCACCCCACTGGGCTCTGAGGCTGGACGTGAGTGTTCCCGATTACAGCTCCTCTGAGCGGGGACTCTGGGTCCTGCCCTTTGTCTCCAGGCACTGGATGGGCATCGAAAGCAAAGCCAGCCTCATGGTGACGGCTCGCACCAGCCTCGCACCAGGCAGGGTGGCGAAAGTGGAGATGCTGCCCTGTGCCCCTCTGGGTTCCTCTGGCCCCTGCTCCAACCCTCAAGCCTCCATCTCTCCCGCCTTCTGACCCTGACCGCCAGGAGCAGTCTTCATGGGTGCTGCCCCAGCACAGGCCCTGTCCTCCCGGCTGCCGTGCTGTGAGGGGTTCCCAAGGGTGGATGCTCGCTGGATGCCCTCACACCTCGCCCAGGGCCAGGCGCCAAGGAGTGGGGGCCGGGAGGGCAGTCACGCTGGGGACATGGCACCCCTGGTAGCCCACGCAGTGGCATGCAGGGTTTGCAGCCTTCCTGACCCGGAGCCCTCCCTCCATGCCAGGGCTGGGTGCCCTTCCAGAGCGGAGCCTGCCGCAATGCTCGGCCTGCTCACGCCCAGCAGCCAGTGGGATCCCTGCAGACACGTGGGCCCTGGGCACCCACCATGGGGCCTGGTCTCTCCCAGTGCTCTGAGCCGCGCGGCCCCGCCTCCCCTCTCCTCGCCGGCCAGCCCTCTGCTGCCGGCTGCGGCTTTGCCTTTGTGAGGCGGCCAGTCTGCGAATGATGTGACGTGTGGGTGTCGGCGCTTTGCACTGAGGCACGGGCTTCAGAAGAGAAGGGAGGGAAGGCTTAGCCCCGGAGGAACCTGGGACAGGTGTGCCCGGAAGGGGACAAGGGGACTACAGGGCAAGTAGGAGTCTGTTACCCAGGGGAGGGGAGGGGGCCGGCAGTGTCCCAGGTGGCTTTAGTGGGGCTAGGTACCTGGGGCAGGCGGGGAGAGCCACCTGGCCAGAAGGGAGGAAGGCTTGACTTTTTAGGGCTCCTGCTGACCCCTTGGAGTGCCCGCTGCCCTTGACATCTGGAGCTGAGATTTGAGGCCTGGGCTCCCCATTCCTGGTGGATAAGGGTCCTTGCGGGCCGTTCAGGACTCTGGGTCTCTCCAGAGCCCGCAAGTCTGGGGAGAGGGCGGCTCCCTGATCCCGACGCCGTGTGCTCCGTGTGTGGCATGGTGGTCATGCTGTCTGGCTGGATGTCCCACAGTGGCCAGAAATCCGCTCTGCCCGTGGGGCATGCGATGCGGACGTCTGGGGCCCCCGCCGGTGCTGGCGCAGAGATACCAGCAGCCTGGTCCCTGCCTGTGTTCTGCAGCCCAGTGCAGGATGCGGCCCACAGCTGAGGCCCAGCTGTGCCTTGGATGTGCCCGGCAGGAGGAGCGGGCGGCATGTGGGGCAGGAGAGGCGGCGCTGCCCAGGGCTGCACATGGCCAGGTGCAGGTATCCGGGAAGTGTAGGCCAGAGCAGCCTGTGAGGGCCCAGCCGCCGCTGCAGAGCCCAGAGCTGGCCCCAGGCGAGCCCAGCGGGTCCCAGAACCCTGGATGCGGCAGCCCCGTCTGTCAGCTCACCTGCTACCTTCCTACCCTGCTTCACCCAGGGCGTTAGTAAGTGGCTGCTGTGTGCCACACACTCCAAGCCCGGGTGCACAGCCAGGAGCCACCCACCCACGCTGCCGAGGGCACTCTGCAGGGGAGAGCGGCAACAAGTCCTGTGCCTCCCCGTGCCCCAGAGCTGCGGGAACTGAGGGGCAAGGGCTGCATGGCGGCGGGCGCTGCTTTGAACAGCAGGCGCGGGGGTCCCCGGGCAGCTCCCGTCTGAGCACAGCCCCACAGGAGAAGCCAGTGGTTTTCTTGGGGGCCCAGCAGTGCAAAGGCCTGGGGAGGGCCTGTTTGGGGTGCTGTGGCAGAGGACCTGGCCCTCTCTGGCCACGCGGGTCAGGTGGAAAGTCGGGGCCATGCCCGTCACAGCTGGGCTGTCCCAGCGCAGGGCCCGGCACCGGCCTCCCCAGCTGTGCCCCGAGCCATGCCCGTTTCCTTTCCTTTCAGACTCGGAAGCAGTACATCGATGCCACCAATGCCAGCAACCAAGTCTCCCTGTACTGCGCCTTCCTGGACTTCAGGTACTGTGGTGCAGGAGGCGCCAGGTGGAGCAGGGCGGGGCAGGGGCAGGCAGTGGGGCACTGGGTGGGCACCATGCCAGACAGCTCAGACGTGCGGCCTGGGCCCAGTCAGGGAACATTGGAGGGGGCAGTGCGGTCACAGAGTCCTTCGAGCTGGAAACGCCGTGACACGGGCGGAAGGACAGGGTGGTGCCGGGTGCCTCCCCTCTAGACCCTGCGGATGTGGCTTGCTGGTCCGTGGACTCATCAGGACAGGGCCTGTTAAAGCCTGAGTTGAACTCTCACTCCCATCAGAGATGCAGGTGGAGGTGGTTGTGGGCAGGGCAGGGTCCCTCTCAGGGGAGGCTGAAGGAGGGGTTCCACAGGCTCGGGAAGCAGCGTTTCGCTGCCCAATGTGTCAGGATCTTGATATCCAGAACCAACACCCGGGAACTCAAACAACTCAAAGCCATGAAACGAATGAAAACCCAGGTGACCTGGTTAGAAAACGCGCTGAAGGCCTCGGGACCTCAGCTGAAGGGGGCGGGGCGGTGGCCAATGCTGTGTGACGTCACGCGTCACCAGGGGGCTGCGGGCCACTGCCCACGTGAACACACCAGCCGAGCTGCGGTGGTGGATGGGGAGAAGGGGACCCTGGCAGCTGAGCATGGGACATGGATGCTTAGTGCAGCCACTGTGGAATCAGGCACAGGCTCCTCAGAAAGCTAACAATAGCGCTTCCCATGCTCCGTGGTCTGCACCCCACTCCTGGATGCGGATCCAGAGGGATGTCAGAGAGACAGCTGCAAGCTGCATGGGTCAAACCATCGAAAAGGCACAGATAGCGCAGCACCCTGGGCATCGAGGAACGGATCGGATCCCGGAAACGGGGCCTGCACCCCTGCCGTTGGTGCCGGGCAGTCTCAGCCCCCAGAGGAAGCAGCCTGGTGAATACGGGACCTGCGTCCTTCCTGCCCACTTTCTAATGATTATTCCTAAGTGTAAGTGGGTGTTTAGGGAAACACACTTCCTCACGGACGGCACTGTTAGCTGGACAATGGTACAGGGCTGTAACCAGAGTGGGCAGAAACGCCCTTGCACTCAGAGACCCCTGCCCACCCCTGGCTCTGCAGACATTGGCCCGCCCTCTGTTCCTGGTGCCGCCCTGCTGGGGGGGGGTGCTGCTATAGTGGTGGCTCGGGGCAGGTGGCCTTGCAGCCGGCTTCTTGGTTAGTGCAGCACGGCTGGCAGAGCACCGGTATGCAGCTCACGGGCGGTGCTGGGTGGTGGTCATTGTGCAGATGTCTGTCCTGCTGATGACCACCAAAGGGTCATTTCCAGGCTGGAGGGTTAGGAGAAAGCTGAGCATTTTACCAGCCTTGTATTCCCGGGTAAACTCCGCTTGGTTCTGGTGTGTGTCCTTTCTGTATTTTGCTGAATTTAACTTGGAATTATTGAAGTGTTTTATGTCTGTGTGCATAAAGGAGACTGGCCTCCTGTTTGTCTGTTTGCTTCATTTGTGGATTTTGTAGAGAGGTCGCGATACCTGTGTGAATGGTGCTCTTCGGAATGCTTTTCAGAATAGTTTGTACAGAATTCCCGTTGTTTCTTCCATGATATATTAGACGACTTCGCCAATACAGATGTATGGGCCTTACTTTTCACTGCTGCCGGATTTGTACCCACACCTCAGTTTCTTTAATGGACACAGGACTGTTCAGGTCACCTTTTCAATGAGTCTTAGCGGCTGATGCATTTTTCAAGAATTTGTCCATTTATCAAAGTCGTTTAATTTATGAGCAGACATAGAGTTGCTATTTTCTTTTGTCGACCTTCTTGCGTCTGTGGATTGTGGTGAAGCCTCGCTTTCATTTCTTGTGTCTGTAGTCGGTGTCTTCTCTTTTTTCTTAGTCACTCTTGTCGGGAATTTATCCATTTTATTCATTATTTCAAGGAAACAACTTTTGATGTTATTGATTTTTCTCTATTGTGTTTGCTACAGATTTCACTGATTTATTGTCTTCATCTTTCACTTAACTTCCAGAGGGGAGTTATTTACCACTTAAAGATTTAATTTTTTCTTCTTTTAAAATTTCTTAACGTGAAGGGTAAGGTAACCGATATGAGATCTTTATTATTTTCTAATGTCAACATTTAATGCTCATTCTTTTCCTAGAAGCACTAATTTCACTGCATCCCACAAATGTTGGTATGTTGTTTTACTTTTATCGAATTCAAAATGTCTTTAAATTTTCCTTGTGACTTTCTTTTCCACCTGTGCGTTATTTTGAGATGTGTTTTTTGATTTCCAAATGGTGATTTTCCAGTGATCTTTCTGCTCTGCATTTCTAATTAATTTTTCATTATCTGAAAACACTTTCTGGAACTATGATTTTTAAAAATTTGTGAAAAGTCATTATTTGACCCAGAATATGTTCAGTCTTGGTGAATATACCATGTACCCTTGAAAAAAAGTGAGTCCTTGCTGGAGAATTCTATAAACTCCGGTGAGAGTGAGTGATGGATAGTTATGTTCAGTCTCCTATGTCTCATTACTTTCCTGCCGGCTTATTCTATCCATTATGCTTGGCCTTTGTCTCCTTGGCTCCTGAATTGATGGGTTCAACAAACCGTGGATGGAAAATATTTGGAAAGAAAAATCGCATCTGTACCGAACATATGCTGGCTTCTTTTCTTGCGATTCTTCCCCAGCAATCCAGAACAGCACCCTCATTCCTGCCCCGTGCGCTGTCAGGCGTGGTGCCCTAGCCCTGCGGAGCACAGAGGAGCCCGCTGTGGCTTAGCTGTGAGTGTGACGCTGCTTCCCGCCAAGACCTTGAGTGTTACACTCTCGCTTCTGGCCCAGGAGTGACGGAGAGCACGGGCCGGCTGTCTCAGTGGATTTATCTATCTCTCCTTGCAATTTTATGAGCTTTTCTCTACTGTCTTTGAATTCAGACCGAATGAGGCTGGGTTTGTTTTTTTATCCAATCATGAAATTTCTGCCTTTGGTGGGTGTGTCCAGACAATTGATATTTCTATTAATATAGACGTGGTTGGATTATTGACTGCTGTTTTGCTAGGTGATTCCTAAGTTTGCTCTCTTTTCTGTGATTTTTTTTTTTTTTTTATGTCGAACTTGTCCTGGGTTCATCTGGATTTTAAGGCAGCTTTTATGGTGCTATTTTATCTCTAGGACTGACTTCTAATTTATTCCGCTGCCTCATGTTTTGTGGTGGCTTCCTGGGTGGGTACTGGGTGTGTCCCCTTCATCCGGTCTGCCTGCAGCGAGCACTGTGTCGTCTCAAGTGTGTTCTGAGAAGTTGCAGTGATCCCTCCCCAGCCCCTGCCCTCCCACGGGCTGCTGCATAGCCGTGTATCTGCAGGTGCCATAGATGTGCAGGGACAGTGCTGCTGTTTCTGCCTAGACAACCAGTCAGCGTAGAGCATCACAAGTAAGACAGCAAAGCCAGGCTATCCTTTACTCCCTTTCCAGCCAGTTACTTCCCTTCTTGTGCAGACCTGAGCTTCCATTCCACACCTGTCCTTTGCAGGGACCATTTGTCTGAGGAGGTATCTTCTTTTCTTTTGGAAGATGTTTTCTCGGAGCTGGGACTCTGGGTCTTTTTCTAGATTTCTCTTCTGAAACGGTACATGAAATATCTCAGCACTGTTCTTTTCAAAAGCAACACGCTGTTTCAAAAAGCAAATGTCCCCTTCGACCTTCACAGCCTGTCCCTCTTCCTCCCTTCCCTCCGGCAGGGGCCACAGGGCAGGGCATTTTATGTGTCTTGTTTCAGTAATTTCTCTATCACATATTTATGCTTACAGGAAATACAGTTTTGTTTCATCGAACATTTCTTGCATCATTCCACCCCATTTTGTTTTGTGTTCTGCCCCATTAGTAAATGTTTCTTTTATTGGATTCACACACATCATGCTTATCCATGCACCCAGGGGAACGTTTCCTGCCTGGATGAAGCCTTCCCAGGTCCAGGCCCCTGCTGGTTCCTGGACCTCTCTGATCTTGCTCCGGGGCCGAATGATTTCTGCAGGATCGGGTGGGAGCTGTTTCCTGGTTCACCAGCTCCTTTAGCCCGGGATGCACCCACACAGGAAGATGTAGCGCACTGTCATGGCGCCACTTGGAAGAGGCCACTTTCACAACTTCCGATGCCCCTAGAAGGGCTGTTCCTCACCCTCAAGGCCGTGCTCACCTGGTTCAACTGCCTGGCAATGCCCTGGGCACCTCAGGTTATGGTGTGGCACTCCTGGCTTGGAGTACCCTCTTCTCTCCAGGTCCTGCATTGGATTAATATCCCTTAGTTATTGTGGCCCGTATTTATTTGGTTATCAGAAGAAGGGAGGGGAATACCCAAGAAGGGTGGAATCACTCAAGAACTGCTCCAAGGTTTTAAGTTAATCCACCTGGGAGTGAGACGGCTGGTGCTACAGTCTTTATCTGGTTGAAGTTGGATCCAGGTGTCCTTGGCTGTGATCTTATCTCATCCTTTGAGGCTTATCCGGCTTCATCCTCCATTACCGGCCTTAGTAGGGATTAGTGACTCACAGAGGTTCACTTACTATGGGTCTACTGCTCACCTCTAGACAAGGAGCCTAGGTCTTGGACAGATTCACAAGTAAACATGAAAAGCCAGTTGGTTAATTTAAGTCCTGCTCAGGGCTGCTTTGTAGTGGTCTGCATCAGTCTTGGGCAAAGTAGCCCAAGGCATGGCACAGGGGCCTGTGTCCCTTATTCTAAGTTATCAGTGGGTGATGGCTCCTCTAAGCTGTGGGTCCGAGACTCTGGCCTTGCCCTCCTTTAAGCACTTCCTGCCTCCCCGCCTGGGGGCACCACTCATTCATCACGAAAGCCACCCTGGAGGCCGCTGGCCACACAGGAATGGCCTGTCCATCTACTGAGGTCCCACCCTCACAGGGACACATGCTTCCCTGGGGCAGAAATGCCACCCCTATACGCTTGGCCCAAGGGCATTGACAGGGCAGGTGCAGGATGGGGTCCCTGGGCCACCCCACCTGACAGAGGCACCTCCCGCTACATCCATGTGGCATTTGGGTCACAGGCGAACACGGCACCAAGGCAGGCCAGGGGCTTCAACTGTTCCTGGTTTAGAAACGTCTTCCCCTGGGGCCCCTGCTCTGGGCAGAAGCTGATTTGTCTTTGCTGAAAACTCAAAGCCACAACTTCTGCAAAGAAAGGTGCCCGGCCCCTTTTAGAACCTAAAATTGAAGTACAGACAGGAAAATCATCTTGGTCAATAAAATCACCACCAGGATTGACCTGTGCACACTGAAGCATTTTGCTTGAGGTCTCTTTCGTCCGGTTTATACTTTAAGAAATTATACGAGTAGCATATGGATTGAATACGGAAACATTCTAGGACGAAGCCAGTGCCCCACTTGACCTGCACGGGTCATCCTGGCCTCCAGCCTCTGCAGGTGACCACAGTGGCGTGCTGGGTAATTAGGTGTGAGCTGTACCTGCATTCCGAGGAGGTATGGACCCTGTCCTGTCTCAGATCCCTATGTCGCCGTCTTGACTGCGATCTATCACAGCGCCCCCTACTGGACAGGGCCTCTTTTAAACTGATGAGCGCCGTCTTATTGCCCCTCTGTGTGCTCCACGCAGAGCCTGCCTGCTCTCATCACATCTGCAGGCACGCAGGGATGGACCTGTGAGTTACCGTAGCGTGTGTCCAGCGCCACCTGTGCCTCGGTGAAGGCCCCACACAGGGCCTTTGCTCCTGGCCCACAGCCTCCCACAGGCTGTCCACGGCAACAGGAGAGGTCCAGGCCTCTGCAGGCCTCGCCAGGGCCGGGGCTTGCACTTCCTGCTGGCCTGCGGTGGCACCGCTGCAGTACTGCTCCAAGCCCTGGGCCGTGTGGCCCCTCTGACTTCCTCTGCTGTGTCCTCAGCTCCGGGAAAGGCGTGTGGTCGAGCCAGGGCTGTGCGCTCAGGGAAGGAAATCTGTCCCACTCCACCTGCCGCTGCACACACCTCACTAACTTCGCCATCCTGATGCAGGTGGTCCCGCTGGAGGTGAGCGAGCCGGCCCCGGGCTGGGGACACGGGATGGGGGGGATGGGTCTGGCGGCCTGGCTCCCAGTGGTCCCGGGTCACTCCGGCCTGGACACCCGCTGTACAGACCCGAGACAAGGTGACCAGTCCATCAACCTCTGCTCCAGTCCTGGGAAGCTGCTGGACCCACTGTCACCAGATTGAAGGGTGCATGGGGGACAGTGTGGCCCCGAGGTGGGGCCATCAGCACATGGAGACAGGCTTGGCGGGGGCCAGGGAACGTCCAGGTCACAGCGTGTGCCGAGGACCGAGGGAGGGTCCTGGGGACGGGAGGGGAGGGAGGAACCCACGCGGGAGCACCCACCTCTGCCCTGGGGGAGGAGGTTGGACTCTGAATCCGAGCCGACTGCCAGTACAAATCTGTCACTGCTTGAAAGCAGTGACACCGGATTTAGACAGTCTGTGGGTGTCGTCGTGGGAGCAGATCACATCTGCTCATTGCCAGAAAAGGTTGATTTGAAAAATGGTCTAAAATTACCCCTGCTAAAAATGAACATTCTCACAAACATTGAAGAAATTAAGGCAGAATTCTTAAGCAGATATCAGCACCGTGCACGTCTAGAGTTCACAAAGGAGCCCCAGCTGCCGTACCTTCTCCACACGGAGCCCGCGTTTCTCCTGAGGCCCAGAGCAGGTCCTCGGACCCTTGGCCCATCTTCTGTCCCGGGAGCTCATGTCCCCACTCTCCTATCCATCTCTGAGGTTCCCTCTCTCCTCCTGGGTCCCCGAGGATGGGGTTCACCTGTGTGGGCTAGGGCTAGGCACGGGGATTTGGGGCTTCGGTCCAGGAGGAGGAGCTCAGGGTGCCACCCCAGGTTTCCCTGGAGAATGCCCCGGCCTAAGATGAGGCCCTGTGTATGGCAAGTTGTGTCTCCACGCAGGACCGGAGGAAGCGGCAGCCAGGGTGGGCGCTCCCTGTGGCCCGGGCTGCGGCTTCCGGGTTCTCTGGACCCCGACCCAGGCACTCACGTGTTTGTGTGGATTTCAGTAGGACAGCTGATGAGTAAATCAGCAGCCAGAGGAGGGTTTTCAAGGCCAGCTCTGGGATCCAGAGCTCTGCTCGCGGCAGGGAATGAGTCGGTCCCCGGGAGCTGCAGGTCACCCAGCAGGTGCTGACTCGGCCAACGGCCAGTGGGGTGACTCAGGTTTGGGGCAGCTGGGGGCACAGGAGCTGGGGCTTCTGGCCTGTCTAAGGGAGGTCAGCAGGGGGCACAGGGGCGAGGCTGGGGCCCACTATGGGGCCACCCTTGCAGCGGGCTGTCCCAGCAGGGTCCAGGGGAATGGCCGGGTGCTGCGGAGGCAGGAGTGGGAATTCCCGGAAGCCTGTGCATGGGGCAGGGGCTGGAGGAGCGAGTGCCAGAGGCTGGGGTATGGGGCGTCGCTGGGAGACCCATGGGTCGCCCCTGAAAGTCTCAGCCCATCACCTTAGGCCGTGTTCCCACCCAGGGCGCACTCTCCAAGGCGGACAGGGCCAGGCTTAGGATGACACCTGAGGGAGGGGACCTGGGATGGTGCTTGGTGGGCCACTCCTCCCGCCAGCCCGCCCCTTCCTGGCTCAGACCCCTCTGCACCCGTAGGGCTCAGCATTGTCCCCTGGGCACAGTGCCTGCCCTGAGCCCTGCGGGGGTGCTGGGACATGCGAGAGCCCTTGCCAGGACAGCGGACCCTGGAAAGGGGTCCAGGAAGCCCCTTGAACCTGGCAGCCCCCTGGCAGAGTGGTGAGGGCTGGGGGCTGGCTGCGGCCGGCGGGCAGCTGCGTTTGTGATCCCCGAGGAGGTTCTCGTCTTCACGCGCTGGCTGCAGGTTCTCTGGGCTGTGAGTGTCGCCTGTGGTGTGGGCTCCGGCTCCAGAAGGGCGGCCTGTGCTCACAGTGCTGCAGCCCCTGCCTCCAGCATGAGGGCCGCTCACTGGCCCTCGGCCTGCGGGAAGACAGGGGGTCGGGGACACAGCCGCGAGGCCCTGCACTCCAGACGCAGGTGGAAGCCCCGCGGGCTGCTCTGCGCAGTTTGCATCCAGGGCCCCGGCAGCGTCTGTGTGTCTCACTCAAAGCGAAGCCAGGCCTTGCCAGGCATTTCTACATCCGGCTGGGGCAGGAAGGGAAGGGCATGGTGGGGCACGCCTCAGGCCGGCAGCGTGTGTGTGTGTGTGTGTGTGTGTGTGTGTGGCGGGCACAACCAGCACACCCTGGCCTTCAGTGGCCAGCGAGGTGTGGCCCAGCCTCATGGGGCTCTGGGCATACTCTGGGTGTGGGTGCGATTGTGTGTTTGTAGCCTGGTGAGGGCAGGGTGTGAGTGGCCTGCGCTCGTGGTCCTGGGGCCGCGCAGGCCTAGGCAGCGCTGGGGCTGTGGTGGACGCGTGGACGTCCTCGAGAACCGACTCCCTCCTGGCAGTCTGTGGGGCTGAGGAGGGAGAATGTGGCCTCAGGCCCACGCAGGCCGATGCCCCTCACCAGGACCAGGGCAGGTGGACCTTCGGGACATGTGTAGCTGCGCAGAACCCTGGTGCCCCAGCGGGGTGCGGTGGTTCCTTTCACCTCCCCGCCAGGCGAGGTCGCCCGCTAGGGTGCTTGCGCCGGCTTACATCTGGCTCTCCAGCCCTGGCCCGGGCCTGACCAGAGGCAGAGGGTGGATGTGGCGGGGGCGGGGCAGGTCCAGGCGGGGGCTGCGGGGATTTGGGCCATTGGTAGAGTTGGAGCAGCCGCAGGCCACGGCTGCAGCCCTGCACTGGGCCTCTCGGGGGCAGCAGTGGGCCCGGGGCGGGAGGAGGGCAGGGAAGCTGGGACCCTGCGGCCGCCTGCCCACACCCTCTGCACCCACAGCTCCCGCGCGGACACCAGGTGGCGCTGTCCTCCATCAGTTACGTCGGCTGTGCGCTGTCCGTGCTCTGCCTGGCCGCCACGCTGGTCACCTTCGCCGTGCTGTCGTGAGTCCCCGCCCCACACCCGGGGCTGCTGCCCTGACACCTTCGCTCCAGAGCGGGGTGAAGGGGCTGGGGGCCGTGGGGGTGGAGAAGACGGGTTGCCATGAGTTGGGGCCCAGGCAGGCCCCAGCCCAGATTCCAGTTCTGGTGGGATCGCAGCCAGGCCGGAGCAGGGCGCACTCCCTGCTGGGGGAACCCCACTGTGCCCAGGGTGGGGGCCAGTCAGCAACCGGGTCGGCTGGAGTGGGGACAACATGGTCACACAGTGACCACGCCCCATGAGGACAGAGGAGAGAAGCCCCCAGAGGGCCAATGCAAGGACACGGAGGTGAGGCAACTGAGGAATAGGAAAGAAGCCAGGTGCAGTGATGCACACCTGTGAGGAGGCTGAGGCAGGAGGATCTCAAATTCCAGGCTGGCCTCTGGAACTTAGTGGCTTAGCAAGAGTCCGTCTCAAACTGAAACAAGTTGGGGGTGCAGCTCTGTGCGGAGATCCTGGGTTTAATCCTAGCACTGAAGACAAAGAGAGGAAAAGGGGGCAGCCGCAGGCAGGGTCAGACTGCACAGACTGAGCCAGCGGCCCTGGGGTGGGGTGCTGGTTTCACAGAGCCTGGAACGACAATGGGGGGAAGTGGCCTCATCTCTGCCCCTCCCACAGCTCCGTCAGCACCATCCGGAACCAGCGCTACCACATCCATGCCAACCTGTCCTGCGCCGTCCTGGTGGCCCAGGTGCTCCTGCTTGTCAGCTTCCACATGGAGCCGGGCACGGTGAGGGGCCCCCTGCACCCTGGCCCTGCTGGGTCCACTCGGGGCTCCCCTGGGGCTGCAGGAGCTGGAGGGTCATTCCCAAGGGCATGCTGCAGCCATGGGCCAGCGGGAGCCACAGAGCCGGGACTGGGAGCAAGGGGAGCCCGACTCCGCACCAGAAACAAGGCCAGGGGCAGGGAGTGGGGAAAGGACAGCACGGGAGACTCCCATGTCCCTCTCGCGCAGGTCCCCTGCCAGGTGCTGGCCACGCTTCTGCACTACTTCTTCCTGAGCGCCTTCGCCTGGATGCTGGTGGAGGGGCTGCACCTGTACAGCATGGTGATCACGGTGTTCGGCTCGGAGGGCAGCAAGCACCTCTACTACTACGGCATCGGATGGGGTAAGCGGGGCACAGCGGGACAGGAGGAGGGCGGAGGGGTGGGAGGAGGGTGGGAGGAGGGTGGGAGGGCGGAGGGGCGCCCCGCTGCTGCTCTGGCAGACGCTGAAATCTCACATCCCTTGGGAAACTCCTGACATCTCTCCCTTGGTCAATTTGGTGATGTTTTAAAGAACCAACTTTTGGTTTTCTTGATTTTCCCAGTTTTTTTCTTTTTGAGACAAGGTCTGGCTGTATAGTCCAGGCTGGCCTTGAACTCACTGCCATCCTCCTGCCTCAGCCTCCTGAGTGCTGGGATTACAGGTGTGCACTGCCTCTCCCGGTTTTCCTGTTGTTTTTCTGTCATCTGGTGTGAAACTTCTGCTCTCGTGTTTCATCGCTGACTCCCTCTGCTCACCCTCGCTGTCCCTTCTGTCTGCCTCGGTGTGAGGCAAGGTCCCAGTTGTCTCTCACTGTCTCTGCCTGGTTCAGGAGGCACCATCTTCCCATGCGCTGCTGTAGGCCCGTGTTTCCTGTGTGTGTCCTCGCTTGCCCCCATCTGGACGCATTTTCTAATTTCCCGTCTGGTTTCCTCTCTGGCCCATGGGTCATTCACGTGCTTGTCTCCCGCGTCCCACACACCGGTGACTCCGCTCTCGCCGTACTGGTTGCCCACCTCCTTCTGCTCGCTGTGGTGGTTTGTGTGATCCTGGCCCTCTTAACGGGGCTCAGGCTGGCTTCGGGGCCCAGTGAAGATCAGCCCCAGAGACACCTGTCTGCCTCGCCGGGAAGAGCCACGCTGCACTGTGTGGCTGGGGCTCCGGGGGCTCTGCGGCCTGCTCCATGCCCTGCTCCGTGCCCACCCTTGTCTCCTGCTCTGCGTTACTGACAGCGAGTGGCCCTTGAGCCGGCTGGGGCGTCTGCTCCTCCCTCAGCCCGACCGCTTGTTTCCCGCCTTGGCGTGGTGTGGTCCATGCACAGGCCGTGTTCGCATGTCCCGATGGACCCGCTGCTCAGGGTGGCAGACGCCTCCGGGTCATGGCATCCCTTCCACCTGATGTCCTTGTCGTCGCTGTCAGAGTGGCTGCCCCAGCCGCATGCACCGCTGCTTGCACGGCAGGCCTTTCTCCTCCTGCTGGCTCCACCTGCTCGCGTGCGGAATCGCAGGTGTCTCCAGGGACAGCTGTCCGCCCCTCCTGCCCTCAGTCCTGCCCGAAGCTTGGCCGTGGACCGGGCCACCCAGCCCTCCACAGCGAGCGTCTTGCCGGGCGTGCGGATTCGCCTCTGCCTGTCCGCTTCGTTTCCAGGTGCTGTCACCTGTGTCGCCCCCAGTCCTTTCCCGCCTTCTTTCGAATTGAGTGATACTTTCCAGTGTAGCCCTTTAATTCCCTGCCCGATTTTTCACTGTATTTTTGAGCTGTGTTTCACTTGTTCTCGTGCTCATTATGTCCATCTTGTGCATTAAACCCATTTCACACCGAATTCAGCGGGCGGGGAGATGCTACTCTCGCCCGGCTCTGTTATTCTCCCCTCTTCCTGTGACCTCCGCATGCCCGGGTGACGCCTGTGCGTGGCGCGGCCGGCAGCACACTGCTGTAGTGGCCGCGAGCTCGGTGCTCCTCTGACTTACAGGAAGCCGAGGTCAGGAGAGAGGTCGGTGCACCTCTGGGCTGCTGGCCCGCCTCCTCTCCTGTCATCTCCGGCAGCCACTGTCCCTGGGTCTGTGTGGCTTCACCTGCTCTGTGGCACGGCAGCCGCCCGCGGCTCTGTGCACTGTGGGAGCGAGTTTCCTCTCTGGTTGCCGTAGTCAACAGTGCGACCACACAAATGCCAGTTCCTATCCCTGCGTTCCCAGTGGACGGAGGGGGTGCACGAGGAGCACGCACACCTCTTCTGTCCCTTGTAATTCCGTAATCACCTTCATGCATGTGCGTGTAGTGTGAGCAGTGAGTGCATGCGTGTGCATGTGTGCGCATGTGCGTGTGCGTGTGCGTGTGTGTGTGAGAATGGCTGCGAGGGGTTCTAGTGGAGCTTTCATTTCCGTTACTGCACTTTCCAAGCCCAGATTCTCACTCGCTCCTTGTCTGCTCCTCCTGAAACGCTGCCCACGCCCTCGCTGCGTGGGTCACACGGTCACTGCGTGTGAGTTCCCTCTGGGGCCGTGAATCCCTGGGAAACGACCCTCGTGAGGTGCTGCGAGCACTTCTCCTGTGAAATCTGCCGGGTCCCCTCCCAACACCTTTTGCCTTCCGCTCACCCTGTGTGTGCAGCACACTCCTGCGTCCTCCCGAGTCTGTGTTTGCATGACACGCAGCGAGGGCTCGGGGTCCCAGCCCCTCCCGGGCTGCATTTTTGTGAGTGCAGCCCCCGGTCACAGAGGCTTGTTGGGCTGGTCCTGATGTCCCCTTGTGGGCATCTGCAGAGTGGCCAGCGGGGTGTGCCCAGCAGTAGCCTGGCGCCCGCCCCACGTGAAATCTGTCTGACGCAGGCCCTACAGGGTCGTTCAGAGCCGTCCTTGGACACATGCAGGAAGGTTTGGTGTTTTTTCCTGAGTAGAAGTGATCAGAGGGCATCCCAGTGGTCTCCTGGGTGCTCTGCACAGTGCCCCCGCCCTGGTCTGGAAGTCTCTCGCTGGCCTCGTCATCCTCGGGAGCCTGGCATTGGGCCGCCCTACCTACGTCTGGCTGGGCGGGCACCTGAAGTTCTCACATGCATTGTGAAGCACCAGCTGGGCAGCGGCCTGTCTTGTCTACCCAGGGAGCAGGCTCAATCCCTTGATTGAGATGTCTTTTTTTTTTTTTTTTTTCTGGAGACAAGGTCTTGCTATGCAGTTCAGGCTGGCCTTAAGCTTGCTTTGTAACCCAGTCTGGTCTCGAACTTGCAAAGATCCTCCTGTCTCAGCCTCCTGAGTGCTGGGATTACAGGTGTGTGCCACCAGGCACAGCCCTTGATTGAGATGTGATTTATCTGCAGATGGAGTTGAGGAGTGACACCTCCTGTCAGGGCTCCCCAGGGCTGGAGCAGGGCATGTGATGGCCACCTTCTGGCTGCCTGCCACCCAGATGGGGAGCTCAGGTGACCCCATGGCCAGTGGACCCTTCTGTCCTCCCTGGACAGGAGGGCAGGTCCCCTGGGACAGCTGACCACAGTTAGGGAGGTGTAGGAGTCGGTGTGGCCACCACATAGAGCTTACCAGTTCTACCAGGAGTGAGTCACAGCTCTGGAGGACAGTGTGTACACGCGCATGCACAATGAGGCTCAGCAAGGGCAGCTGGCATGGGTGACAGCATTTGACAGAGTTTGTGGGAAGCGTTGTTAGAGGGAGGAGCCTGGGGAGTGAGCTTGCTCCCTCTGTGAGGGTGTGTGTGTGCACGGTGTGTGTGCACAGTGTGTATGATATTGTGTATGTGAGGGTGTGTGACTGTGTGTGACTGTGGCATGGCAGGCGTGTGAGGGTGTGACAGGGTGTGTGAATGTGTGTGTGGGGGTGAGTGTGTGATAATCAGGCGGACAGGGTCTTACGTGAGCCACACAGTTGAGGAAATGAGTGGTTTGTCAGGATTTAAAGTGGAGTTGCCGTGGGCTGGCTTCCTGGATGTGTGGCTGGGAGCCCAGCACTGACAGGGACACATGTGGCCTCTTTGGGCACCGAGCCTGGGCCCCATGCAAGCTCGGTGACAAGGCGTGGGGCCTCTGTGAGCCCAGCCTCCATCTGTCTCCGGTGGGTTGGGACCCCGTGATCACCTGGTCACTAGCCTGGGGCCACGTCCTGCACCGCAGTCGGCTGGCTTGGCCTCCAGCCTGAGTGAGCAGGGCAGGTGCGGGCTCCTCGGTGGGCGTTGGCTTGGGACCCCTCCTCCCCATGGTCCAGTCCCAGGCGAGGCTGCACCGAGCGGCTGCACAGGGGTCAGCTCCTGCTTCGACCCCGCCGTCCACATGCACCTTCTGTCCCCCAGCATCCCTGCCTGTCCGCTGTGCTGCCCAGCCAGCCTGGGTGGCCCTGGGGCCGGAGCTGGACGCTGCTGGCCACAAGGCCCAGGCTCCTCCTTGGGGCCACCTCCACCTCGTGGGCTCCCTGCTCTGAGTCCACCCAAGACGTGCTCTGCTCAAGCCCCCACTGGAAGCAACTCAGGGTCCCCGGCTGGCCACTGGTCTCCGTACGGCATCCCTTTCCTGCTTCCGGCTGTGTCAGTCCTCGTAGGACGGCAGAGTCAGCGCCCAGGCTCGGAGTGGGTCCACACCACGGCAGGTGTAGACTGCAGGTGCCCACAGAGCCCTGTCCTTGGGGCTGGGCTGCCTCCACAGGCCTGGACTCCTCTCCTGCTACAAGGAGAAGGCAGCAGTGTCAGGGAACCGCCAGCGGCAGAGGTCCCCACGAAGGGCCAGCTCCTGGCTGCCCATCCGGCCGCCCCTCCTGAGGTGCTGAGGTCTGGTGTGTTGGACATTGTGCTGGCGTCCAGGGATGCATGTAAACCCTCAACCATGGAGAGCTCAGCCTGCTGGGCCAGGGCAGGACCCGGAGACTTCCTTCCAAGGTGACCAAGTCACAAACGAAGGCCAGGCCAGCCCCTCCTCAGCCCAAGAAGCTGAGAAATGCAGTCCCTGCACTCTGAGGCCCTCAGGTAGGCTGTGGAGTCTCCCTGCCTCACACTCTGTACAGGGGCAGAGGGCAGAGGGCAGAGGCCATGGCGAGGGCACTGTGGAAGGCCCTGTGCTTTCTGAGCAGCTGGACACGTGCTGTGTGCGGGAACAACTGTGTTCCCCCTGGAGCCGCCTGGCGGGTGTGAAGTGGGCAGGGCAGGGCTGTGAGCCACTTTTCCTTTTGGGGTCCTGCAGCTTCCACACAACTCCCCCAACCCCAGGGCGAGGCCCAGGCGATTCCTGTGGGACTAGGCCGAGTCTCTAGGAGTTTTCTCTCAATTTTTACAAAGATTTTTATTTTTATGAGTACAGTTTTGCAGTACATTACGATTACATCCACCCCAGGGAGTTGGCACCTGAACGCAGCTCATCCTGCTTGTTCCGTGTCCCCTTCCCCTCTGTAGGAAGAGCAGAGCTCCAGAATCCCCGCTTTTCAGAGACAGAAGGCTCTGTGGATTGGGGTCCTGGGTTTCCTAACTTATTCCACACTCTGTTCTCCTGCCAGTCCCGAGAAGCCCTGCCGCAGCTGGATAGAACATCCAAAGTGTTTAATCCTCACACTCAGTTCTAAGCCACAGAAATCCGTCCTGAACCAGCTCCAGAGGAAAGGGTATTAGACAGCTCACACACCCACAGAGGCACAGGGTGCCGGCTTCGGGCACGGCCCGGTCGCAGCTCACACAGCGCAGTCACAGGGCTTCCTCGACCTCCTGTGGGGCCACAGCGGCTGTGCGGCCCTGTCCTGCTCATACCCTTGCCCACCCAGGACCCAGCGGGAGGCACCAACCTCGGGAGGTCCCCCGCTGAGTCTCACGGCTCCATCATTGACTGAACTTCTGTGACCGAGGACTGGGTGTTCTGGGGAACACTCCTGGGTCGCGGCTTCTGGATCCAGGAGTGGGCTGGGCCCGGGGCCCAGGGTCCGTGGGTGAGGGGTGGTCTGCTTGTTGAGGAATTAGGGGCTTCGATAGGGTAGCTTGGTGCCCCTGGCCCTCTCAGACCCAGCTGAGCCTCCCAACATTTCCCCGCAGCTCGGAGGCGAGTTCTCATGACACCTCTGCCTCTAGCTGGGGGACTCACCTACAGAGGCCCTCGGGCACAGTCCATGTTGGGACGATCATCACTGCATGGCCTGTGGGCCAGCTTGGCCTGGCAGAGCCACGTGTGTGAGTGTGCGTGGTCACTGAGATCCATAAGTGTGTGGGGCTGTCCTGGTGGCCTAGTCAGTGACGGGTGTGTGATCCCCTGTCTGAGCTGCCCGTTCCCTCGGGTCATGCTGCTCTGTGCCCAGCGCCCGGCCGCGTCCCCGTGTCAGCCGTGTCGAGTCACAGCAAAGGGAGTCGAGGTCCAGGTGGCCGCGTGACCCTCTCCCTCCCGCAGGCTTCCCCCTGGTCATCTGTGTCGTCTCCATCTCCTTCGCCATGGACAGCTACGGGACCAGCAACAAGTGAGTGGGCATCCTGGGGTCCGGGAGATGCGTGCCCTGGGTGCCGTCTGTCAGGGTCGGCGTCCATGCTGAGGAAGGCTGGGCCGGGGAGCTGGCCGCCTGCTGAGGCGTCACAGCGCCTGGGAGCTCCTGGCTGGGATTTCTTCACCACGGCCTCCCAGATCCACGCGTGGCTACGCGCCCAGCCTCGCTCGGGGCCTGCGGCTCAGCAGGGGAGGCGCTCAGTCGGTGCCCAGTAAACGCGGGGCAGAGCGAGTGTGCTGTGTGCACATGTGTGGCCTGCGGGCACAGTGGGCTCGGAGTCACTGGCTTGGCGAGGAGGGCAGGAGTCTGTGCCCTGCCTTACACGCTGATTATCCAAAACCCATCAGCACGCAGACTTCAGGACGAGGGGGCATTTAGGGGCACAGTTTGTTTCCCAGCCACGGCGGGGCGGAGGCAGGTGCCTCCGAGTGATTTGGCTTCCCCCAAGCTTTCCGCGCCTCAGTTTCCCCTGTGCAGCACAGGGTTACCGTTGTGGCCACCGAGGGGTGCCGCTCAGGGAGCACTGAGGACACAGTGCCCCGGATGCTGCCAGGACCGCCCCCACTCCCGGCCGGGTCCCAGTGCACATGCCCACACCGAGCACTCAGCCCCCAGGACTCAGCAGGCGCCTGGTGCCTGGGCCGGGCACTTGGCAGCGGAAACGCAGGCCGCTGACCTGTTCGCCCAGTCCCGGGGGTGGCGTGTGGAGGCCGGGGGACCCCTGCAGCCCCAGGCTGGGCCCCGCATCCCAGGACGCAGCCCTGGGGTCATTGTGGGGAAGAGCGCGCGGGGACCAGGAATGCACTGGCTGTGCTGCGGGGCGGGGGCTGAGCACTGTCCTGATGAGGGCTGCCGCTGGGTGGGGGCCGCCGAGTGACGCTTCGCTCTCCCCACAGCTGCTGGCTCTCGCTGGGGACGGGCGCCATCTGGGCCTTCGTGGGCCCTGCCCTGCTGGTCATCGTGGTAGGTGCTCGTGGGGCCCAGGGCTGGGCATGGAGGGAGGAGGGGCCTGCAGTCCACACGGCTCTTCCCATCGCCCTTCTGGGAGAGGCCGGTGCCCCAGGGCCAGGCCACGCAGAACACGGTGCAGTCGCCGGTGAGCACGCGTCCTTGGTTTAGTAGAAATGGGAATTTGCCGAAGCCACATCTACTGGAGAAGCCATTGCTGGAGCGTGAGCGGGGACACAGGAAGGGACGCAGCCTCGGTGGCCAGGGCCACTGTGACGGGGGTGCGGACCCCACCCACCTCAGAGTCTCAGGCCAGCTCACAGGCACTAGCTGGGCCAGGGCCCGGTTGTCGTTATCCCGTCACGGAGTCGCAGCTCTGGCGTAGTCAGGGTCGGGGACTACGTCTCTGTCTGAGGATGTCTCAGTCGAGTGGGCACCCCCGTCCTGGAATCCGGGCGACCACAGGCTGGGGACAGAGGCAGGAGGCTGCCAGCGTAGCTGTGTGCCCTGTGACCCTGGCTTGGTGCTCCCGGTCTCCAGGGCAGGAGGTCCTGCCAGCGCAGGGTGGATCCCCGGTCCTTCCAGCACCAAGAGTCACACGCCTCATCAGAGCTGGGGGAGACCTGACCTGGGTTACAGCCGCAAAGGACACAAAGTCGAGGTGCAGCCTTGCTCTGCTCCTAGTGACCTGTGGGCATCTGTCACCTGAGGGAAGTCACGGCTGCCAGCAAATGTGGCTTCCAAGTCCCCGACCATCCCAGAAGAAGACAAATCCCACTGCTCACAGGCGAGGGCCAGGGTTCTGCCTGTCACAGCCCTAGGGTGGCCCTGTTAATATCATGACTATCAACACCTGTTGATGAACCTGCCTTGCTATTCCGGCAACATTCCTGGGCTGGAGTCAAACCCTTTCTGATGGGCCAGCTTGTATATCTGAGCATCATAGACTACTCCCTGAGACTGGAGGAGAGGGGTACTCTGATTAGCTAGCTCTCACTGAGGCTGGAGGAGAGGGCTACTCTGATTGGACAGCTCTATCTGAGACTATAGGAGAGAGGTGCTCTGACTGGCCAGGCTTTGGATAGCTCTTACCCTGGGTTAGAGTCCACCCTGCCTGGGGTGTGGACAGGTGTGGGGTGCATGGCTCCCTGGAGACCTGGTGCTGTCCCTGCAAAGGGAACTTGGGCTTGACAGGAAGTCCTGCTTCTACCCCATCTGGTACCTCAGAGGACCTCAGAGGACCAGAGCACTGGGCCTGCTGGGCCCTGACCTCCTGCACCTCACGCAGTCCTGGTGTTATGATCACTTGGAGTCCGGTGGATGGGACCTTAGCCAGCCCAGGTGACAGTGAATTGTGTGTTTTGAGCTGAGTCCCTATGGCTCCTGGGAGGTGCCAGGGTGGGGTCCTTTCTCAGGCCCAGGGGACCGAGGCTGCGGGAGACAGCACCACAGACTCGTGGGCGTTTGGGGTCCTCACTCATGGCCTCCCCGATGGGGCGTCAGAGCACAGGGCCCCGAGGACACATCGCATTCCACACCAGAGGAAGGCTACTGGTGGCTGTTGGGCATGAGTTCCCGGGGTGGCACTGATGCCCCATGCTCCGTGCCCACTGGGACCCGCCCCTCACCCTCACCTCCCACCGTTCCCCAGCTCAGCCCTTCTGAGTGTCCCCTTTGGTGGCACTGCAGGTCCGCTGGCCCAGTGGTTAATTAGGGACGGGTTGCAGGGAGATGCTGAAAGGCCGGAATTGTTCTTTGATCATTGAAATTCTGCTCAGACTCTGCCTGCCGCTGAGGGGCCTCTGGGGGCTGCCAGGATCCTCGCTGCTGCTTGGGGTGGGGGTAGTGTCCCTAGCATGGGACCCCAGGCCCCCTGGGTATCCTCCACCAGAGTGCTGTGCAGTCAGTCTTCCTCCTGACCCCAAGATTTCACCGGGGTCATCACAGGAAGTGAGTCTTGAGTTATTTTTCTTTTATTTGGGGACTGGTTACAATTGAAATAGGTAACCTGGCTTTGAAAATTTTAACACATGTGGTTCAAAAATTTAAAAGAAAAGCTTAAGAATATATGAGAAGACTCTGCCAGGAATCTCCTCAATTCCCTGCTCTCCAGCTCCACGAGGAAGGAGGTGCCAGGCACGGGCATCTCTCTGCACCCGGCTTTTCTGCGGTCACCTGCACGGGCACACGGGCTCCGGCTTGACGCCTGCCCTCAGTCCCTCCGTGTCTGCAGCACAGGCGGCACCACAGCCCGCTGGCCTCTGCCCAGCCACGCGGGGTCGCTCCTCTTCGTTCTGACACAGTGAGGCTCCAGCTCTGGGCGCTGTGAGGTCTGGGATGTGAACCCATAAAGTGCAGGGGGCGGGGCTAGCAGGACAGCAGGGCGAGGACCTCGGTGAGTCTCCCCCAAGTGGGGAAACTGCTGGATGAATTTATTTGAAAAGATGTCAGAGTTCCGGAAACAGACCAAGGCCAACAACTGCAAAGTATTTTGTTCCCCAGCAGAAACTCCCGTGGCTCTCTTTCATTGTCACAGTCTGCCAGCTGGGAAGGCCAAGGCCGTGGCCTCATGAGGTGTATTGTTTGGACACGGTGCTGGACGCCATGCTGCTCCCATGCCTCCTGCCTCTGCTGCCTCCCAAGGGAACCCTCTGTCATCAGCCTCTTTCACAGACCAGGAAGGACGGCAAAGGAGCAGGGTGGGAAGACCGGGTGGAGACACTCACACCTTTGCATCCTCCCACACTGTCCCGCCCCCGCAACAGCAGGGCCAGTGAGGGCAGAGGAGGTCTTGGACAGACGCAGGGGAAGGGCCTGAGTGGAAATTGCTGGGTGCTCCTGCAGGCCCCAGGATGAGGTGGTCTCAGCAGGGGCTTCAGGAAGGCCTGGACCCGCCAGCTGGGTGGCTGCTGCAGATGTGGGGTGAATGGCTGGGAGGGGGCATCATGACTGTCAGCCCCCTGGAACTGCAGACCAGGCACCCCAACTGGCCTGGCCAACAGTCACCCCAACCTGTCACACAGAGCATTTGGGACGCTGGGGTTGGGTGGAACATTCCTATGGAGGCTTCTGGCCTGGAGCTGACTCCCCCCCATTGTGTCCATGACAGAACTTTTCAGAATCGAGAAGGACCCTGGGACAGCAGAGCCCTGCAGCATCAGAAATCAGCCCCCCTCCTTGGTTTTCAGGACCCTGGAGAGCGGCCAGGGAGGGGACGGTCTGCACTGCAGTCTCTGCCAGAGATCCTGAGTGACCCTGGGCAGGAGGGTCCTCAGCTCTTAGAGGGTAGAGGGCGGCGAAGACCCCTGAGATGACAGGCCTGGGTGAGGGTACTGCAGGGTGTAGGGGCGAGACGGTCTTTCCATGGACAGTTTGCATGTGGCTTCTTATCTGCTGCCACCAGTGGGCTGGGGGGGGCCCAAGGCTGTGGTGCCGGGCTTGTGAGAGTGAGCGGTGCGTGAAGAACTCTGACCCCCACCCGTCTGAGCCCCAGGGCCCCCAGCCTGGGCAAAGAGCCAGGCTGGTGTCTGAGCCGGGAAAGCTCCTGTGGCCCCTGCTGGCCCCAGCCACCCCACCGCTCTCGTCCCTCCTCCATGCAGGTCAACATCGGCATCCTCGTCGCGGTCACCAGGGTCATCTCCCAGATCAGCGCTGACAGCTACAAGATTCACGGGGACCCCAGCGCCTTCAAGTAGGTTGACTGCGGGGAAGGACCGTGGGTTTGGAGCCCCATGGCCTGCGCCAGCCCCACCTTGCCCGCGCTCTGCTGGACCCACACAGACTCAGCCCCACGGCCCCCTTGCCCCAGTGGGGTGGCGAGGAGGCCTCCACATGGCGAGGGAAGCGGCGAGGGAAGACCCTAGAGAGGCTCCTGCTGCGGTCCAGCCTGGCCACGTGGACAGGAAGCCGGGAGTGGGGGACCAGGTCCACACAGCTTCCTGCTCCTGGCTCCTGGCCAGTGTCCTGAGGGTCAGCGTGGACCCTGTGCAGTAGCTGTGCAGCAACACTGTCCCTAGACAGCTCCCCGTCCCTGTGGGCTTCTCGCCCAGATGGACAATGCTCTCCTGGTGGTGGGGACTGCAGGAGTTGGGTCCTCGGGTGCCCCCTCCTCCGGTGGACAGTGCAGTGGCTTAGCCTCAGGATGTGGGGCAGAACTGACCACAGGGCGGGGGGCCCGAGTCTCACAGTCACCCTCTCTGGGCACCTCAGGGCTGAGGGCTGGGCAGGCGGCTCCTTGCCAGGATTTGGGCCTTTGTGTACCCGGAGTGTGGATTCTAAGCCAAGATGTCCAAGAGTGACTCCAGCTACAGTAGATCTTTTCTGATCTGAAAGCAAACGCCATAAACAAGCCAGCAGTGGATCGATGAGATAATCATTCCATAATGAATTCCAAACACTGTAAATTAACCTGGCAGGCGGCCGCACCCTCTAGAGCCTTTCAGGCTTTCTGGGGAGGAAGGAAGGAATCTCGCAGGGTGTGGGCAGTCCCGTGGCTCGAGCTGTTGTCCCTGCCCACTGTGGTGGCCAGCAGGGCCCTGTCCCCTCGCTTCCCCCGGCCCGCAGCCCTTCCATGCCCTGGGAGAGCAGGCCACACGCCCGTCCCATCTGTGCATCTCAGGCGGGACGGGCACAGCCACCACGGCCCAGGCAGCTCCTTGGCTCCTTCTGGCCTCTCCTGGAGCAGTGTCTGGGGCCTGAAGGACGCGGGTGTTTCTGGGTCCCGGGGACAGGTGTGTAATTTTTAGTGTTGGCATCGAGAACAGGCTGTGGCTTCCTGAGATCTGCCACGTGGGCAGCCTGGGTTCCCAGGGGTCCTGGCTTCCGACGGGGAGCTTATTACTCATCTCTCCTCCTGCGTGTCCCCGGTCCTCGTCCACACAGCCCAGCCCAGGTCCTTTCCTGGAGGCCTCTGCACCCTGGACTGCCTGCCCCTTTCTGCAGGGACCCCGACCTGGCCCCGCAGAGCCTTTCACCTCGAGCCGTCCTGACTGCCTGCCCTGCCGGCCCCCAGCACGGCCCTCGCTGTTTCTCTTTCAGGCTGACAGCCAAAGCCGTCGCCGTGCTGCTGCCCATCCTGGGGACCTCGTGGGCCTTCGGCGTGCTGGCTGTCAATGACCAGGCCCTGGTCTTCCAGTACATGTTCGCTGTGCTCAACTCCCTGCAGGTGAGCCCCACACCCTCCACGCCTCCCATGCCCCAGGCTGGGACAGAGGCATCCCTGGAGCCACCCAGCAGCTCTCAGGAAGGACCAGGAACACAGGGCTTCGGGCCCAAGCTGGGCAGGCAGGAGAGGCAGCGACAGGTGGGAAGGGACAGAAGGGTCCCTGCCTGGGAGGCAAGGACTGGGCGCCCATAGTCGGGGCTTCCCAAGGGGCCAGAGCCACAAGATCCACTGCGCACCCTACCACACAGCTGCCCTGTCCCTACCAGGTCTGCGCCAGCAGGCGGCGGTGGCTGCCGCCCTGTGCAGTCCCCTCAGTGCTTAGCACACGTGTGCCAGGCGGCCCTGCTGCGACCCGACACGCCCTCTGCCCGTCCTGCCCATGAGACCCGGGTGGCGGTCTGCTGAGAGGGCTCCCAGGTGGGGTCTGCAGTCCCGGGCAGGGTCGGGGTGGCGGTGACACTCTCCTGCTGTGTGTGTCGTCACTGTCGCAGTTGGCCCCATCCTCCGGCAGCTGGAGCCCAAGGCCCAGTCGGAGGTCAGTCTCTCGTCTGACCCCGAGGTCCCCGCCCTTGGTCACAGCAGCAGCCTGAACCGGGTTAGATGACAGGGTGGGCCTGGGACACCTCTCTGCCCACGTGGACCCAGGGCCAGGCGCCGGCTCACAGGGTCCCCACAGTGAGGTGCCGCCTGCTCCCGGGCCTCACGTGCTCCTCCCCTCTGCAGGGTGGCTTCATCTTCCTCTTCCACTGTCTCCTGAACTCCGAGGTATGTGTGCCATGGGCGCCCAAAGGGGAGTCCAGTGAGGAGCCCGGGTGATGTCCCTGCCTTGCCGTGGGCTTCCCAGGCCTCACCTCAGCGCAGGCTCCCGTGCCCAGTGGCCCTGGCCCTCCCGGCCTGGCCGTGGCTATCAGACTTTTCCCCTGCTTGCAAAGGTGAGAGCCGCCTTCAAGCATAAGACCAAGGTCTGGTCCCTCACCAGCAGCACGGCCCGCAACGCCAGCGGGAAGCCCTGCAGCTCGGATGTCGTAAGTGCAGCTGTGCCCATTGGACCCTCTCCTGCCGCCCAGGCCTGCTGGGCGCTGCACCGCCGCCCTGCTCTGCTCCTGTCCTCCAGCCCCACCTGGCCCTGCACGACCTGGGCCTTGCAGCCCAGAGCAGAGCTGCGGTGTCCTTCCCCTGCCCCCCGGGTCCTCCCTGGGGTGACCCCCCTGTCCCGTGTCTGCCACTCCTCCAGGATTTGCTCCATGCATGTGCCCTGGGTGCCCCACAGGAGCACACACCCCAGCCCCCACAGCACCCAGCACCGTGTGCTCATCCAAGAAAGGCCCAAAACTCACATGTGTGCAGACAGACTGACACATACCTGGTGTCCACAGTGCCCAAGCACAGGCCGGGGGCACGGGTAAAGCTCTGTGTGGATGCGGATCAGGCTCGGGCGGAAGCAGCAGGTCCCAGCCGTGTGTGCTATGGCCTGGCTGGGGTCTTGCTCTACCCTGGTGCCATCTCCAGCTCCGTGCTCTCACACTCTGCAGATGAACGGGACCCGCCCGGGCACGGCCTCCGCCAGGCTCGGCCACTGGGACAAGAGCAGCCACTCCGCCCAGCGTGTGGACCTGTCCGCCGTGTAGAGGGGTGTGGCCAGTGTGGCGCTCCAAGCCAGTGCACACTCACATGACCCTCTCCTGCCTGCTGTCACACAGTCCTGGGCCCCTGGGGCTGCAGGCGACACCCAGGCTGGCATGGCCAGCGACAGTGTGGCCCTCCTGTCCTGGGTGTGCCGGCCACCACAATGCTAGACTACGCTGCCCTCCATGCCCGTGTGCAGAGCTCAGGCCCATGAGGCAGTGGCACATGAAGTCCGCGTCTCCAGCCTGAGACCAGCCTCTGTCCATACTGGGTGCTGGGCTGGACTCTCGGCCGCCTGGGACCGGACACCAGCCCTGTGTTTAGGGCCAGCGCTGCCTCCTTGTGAAAACCACTGTCCGAGGCCTGGGCTTCAGGCTTCATAGGCGCCTAGGAGGGCGGCGCCTCGGCCCGCGTCCTACGTGCACTGCCTCTCCAGACTGAGGTCGCCTAGGTCACCTCCAAGCACAAGCTGGCGCTGTCCTTCTGGCCACCCACAGCTCGCGGCCTCCTGTGCATTTTCCTGAGCCGGACTACCGGTTAGCGAGCCTGGCCGCCCACATAACTGCTTCCCTGTCCCTGGAAGATGCGGTTCCTGGAGGGAAAGGCTGGCCCCCTGCCTGCCTCGTGGAGACCCGGGGTGCAGCTGTGTGGGAAGGGAGGCCGCTGTCCTCTGTGTTGGACGCAGACTCAGCCCTGGGGAAGCCAAAGCTGGGACGGCTTTCGTGGGCGAGCTCATGCCCACTGCCGTGGGTCCTGCAGAGCGGTCTGATGGCGCTCGGCGGCCCTGGCTGGAGCAGGGCAGGCGCATCGAGGTGTGCCCCACCAGCATCCATCCTGGAGACCCCGCTTTACACTGTGACCCCGACTTCACTGTGCCCCTCTCACCACGCCTGCTTTGCTCCCCAGTGAATTTTTGTAGTTCTGTGGACACTTTCCGCCTCCACCATCTGGTGGCCTTTTAAAAGAAATAAATTACTTTTTTTGGTGATGGGTGACGGTACGCAAGCGCCTGCCCTGAGCTGCACAGCTGCGGCCCTGATCTCAGGGGGCGGCCAGCCTGGATGGGCCTCTCCACGCGGGCGGGGCACAGCGATGGCACCGCAGGGTCAGCCTCTGGCCTTCTGGCCACTGTGTGACCGAGCCTTCGCCTGCCCCGCACACTGGCCGAGGCCACTGCGAGACACTGTGTCTGGGCCAGCCCTGCTCTCAGCAGTCACACTCAGGCCTCCTGGGTCCCCAGGTCACCCCTCAGCCCCACCGGCGCCTGGGAGTGAGCAGCCTAGCAGCCAGTCCTGGGGGCACCTTGCTGTAGGCGGAGCTCCTCATTTTCCGGCCCTCTCTACTCGTCCTACGTAGCCCATGCATCACCCAGCAACGAGAAAACCTGTCCAAGCCTTTCGTTTCTGCGAAGGGCAGCCGTGCACTTTATTTATGGGCTATAAATTGTGGCTTCTGCGGTACTTTGTTATCTACACTAATTTGCCCAGAAATGAGAAATCGGAAGGAATGGTGTGTTTAAAGTAGTTTATGGCACGGGAAAGATGACGGATGCCGCTCAGTGGGGAGAACACGCTGTGATTTTTTAAGAAATAAAAACTCAGAGTTCTTAAATAAAGTGTGGTCTCCGAACTCTGCTGGAGCTGCGGGCCGGACGGCGCCCCTTTGTGGAGGCCCGCGGAGTAGCTCTAGCTGGGCGTCTGGTCAGACGTGTGTGGCCCCCGCTGCACGCAGACACCACAGCTCTGTGCTCCGCTCCGTAGCCTCAGCCCCAGGGGCCCTGGAGCCCAGGGGGCCTGCGGCCTGGCGAGGAAGCCGGGAGCCATGCGGGCCCCCAGGGCCTGCGTCCTCCCAGGCTGCTCACTGCGCAGCTGCTGTGTCGGCCCACAGGGTCCTCCCGAGGCAGGAAGTAGAACAAGGCCAAGTAGAACAGGAAGCAGAACAGGAAGCCATGGGCCAAGAACCAGACGGAGCAAGGACGCTGATGTCAAAGTCGCAGAACCAGCAGAGAGAGGTCGCCCGCGCCCAGACCCTGGCACGGGAAAACCCCAAAGTACAGCGCCTGGGCCTGTGCCCAGCCTCATCTGCATCGTCGCTCGGACCCTCCGTGGGCTTGGGATGTCGCCACACTTCCTGTGAGACCCTGACGGGCGGGCCCAGCCGGGTACCCGCTGGGCCAGGACTCCTGTCCATTGTCCCCAGTGCAGACCCCTGTGACCCCAGGACCCTGGAGGCCCAGTGCTGCCCCTGCACTGTGAGCGCTGCACCCCGTGGGGCGCCCCTTCCTCCCGTCACCTCACTCCTGCTACTCTCTGAGCACCCCGCTCAGTTCTGTGCTCAAGACAGAGAACCTGGAGACGCCGCCCCTTGACCCTGCCGAGCGCTCGGACACGCTCACCCGCCCCGAGCCGCCTCTCAGCCTCCCCGTAGGACGAGGACACGCCTGTCCTCCTCCGTCTCCCCGCAGGGCCTGCCCCACGCCGACCCTCCTCCCCACGCTGCTCGGAGCTGAGACGACGTGAGAGGTTCACTGCCGTCACAGTCACGTTACAGCTGTGCTCTGTTGTACATCAGTGTTATGGACTTACCAGCAAGGACTTGCTTACTTCTGTGTGAACATGCTTATTGAATGTAACGTTTTACTTACATTATATACGTAACTCCGCAGGGCCAGCTCTCTACCCCCAATTTCCACCAAGCCTGTGGTGCATTGAGCCTGCCGTGGCTTCCAAGCCGCCACCCGCCGCCGTTCGCCCTCCGTTGGGTGACACCCCGTGCCCCTGACGAGGATTCTACACCGCGTGTTTCTCCTGCTTTCGCGGGAGCCTGGGCGCATTCTCCCCCTTTGTGGGTGCGTGTTTGTGCGGCAAGTCTTTCGCAAGGCCATTTCTCTTTATTGACCTTACTTTGGGGAGCAGGACAGCTCTCCAGGACTCCACAGGGTCTTCCGGTGGCTAAGCGGTCACCCTTCAGACTTTCCGGCACCCCTAAAGGGCCGGGCGGGGGGTGCAGTGTGGCCCTCGGTCCCCCGCGGCTGGTTGACTTGTAATCCCTGCCTCTACCCTCAAGCCGTGCGGCCTGAGGAGCAAGGTGGTGTTTTCAGCTGGTGTTTTTCCAAATGCAGTTCACGCTGGTCCACTTAAAGCATGGCTGCGGTGGTAACTGTGGCCAGCTGTGTTCCAGTTGGAGAATACCGAGCTCGAGAGAGGGTGGGACGGAGAGTTCACGGATCGGTCCTGTCAGCAGCCAGGGCCCACCCGCCGCAGAGCAGCGGGGTCCACTCGGCACAGACGGGAGGAGCACGTGGGGCCCGCTGTCTTCAGGACACTCTGTCTTCAGGAAGACTTCCTGCAGTCCACACGGATCCCTGTGCCAGGGTCTTCATGCCACTTTCTTTTAAAAATAAATTTCTTTTTTAAAAGACATTTTAGATACACAGAAAAATTGTGACAGAGGTATAGGAAGTCTCCATATAACCCACACCTGTTTCCTCTGTTACTACATTTTAAGCAAAAATGTCACATTTGTCAGAGTTAATGGACCAATAACTGCTTGTTTCTGGCTGACACCTGCACTTCCTCCCATTTCTTCATCCTCCCGCTGTCCTGCTCCCAGGACTGGCCGGACTTCGGGCCCCGCAGCACACTCGCTGGTCCTGGGGGAGCTCCCTGGGCTGGGACGCGCTCTGAGACGCCTTGCTTCTGGCGAATTGGGCAGAGTTTAGAGGTCACTGCTGAGCCCTGCCGTGCAAACCTCAGTGTTTCCCTCTTGGTTGGGGCTGTGAGGTTTGGGGAGAGGGTGCAAGTGAGGTGTCAGGGCACCGCCCTCCGCATGACCCCGTGTCACGTGTCCACGTCAGTGTTGAGGTGGCCGCTGGGCTGAGGGAGGTGTCGCCGGGCTTCTCTGCCCACACCGAGGCGGGGAGGACAACAGAGGTCATCAGAAGCTTCTCCGGGGCTGGCTAGCCTGCATTCTTTATTGATTTGGCCGTTTGCTTCTGTCAGTGTAGACTCACAGGTATTTATCTGGGGGGTTACTATGCACTGCCCCTTTACTGGTTTTCTTGGTCAGATTATCTCCGCTTTGGCCTTCGGGAGCTTCTTCAGTTGGCTCCCATGTGCCCGTGGCATACGGCTGTCAAGCTGCATGGGCGTGCATGTATGTATGTGCGTATGGCATGTATGTTTCAAGCACTTCCTTTAGGAGACGGATGTTTTGCCACTACGCCCCCAGTCCCACTTGTCTTTTTATTCTCTTAACAGAGTCTTTCACAGAACGAGTTTTCATTTTGAGGGAGTATCTCAGTTTCGTCTTTTGTCTGTTAAGTCTAAGAAGCTTTCAACAAACTCCCCAAAGATGTTCTTCTACAGTATGATCATTTTAGCTTTAATTTAAACACACGGTCCTCTTAAAGTTGAATTGAGGTTCTGTGAGGGCGCCCTGATACATGTTCAAGGGCACCAACCGCGTCTGCCTGCAGCCTCCAGGCTGAGCGGCCCTTGCCCCGCCGCCCAGCGCAGCTGGCCTCACCTCTGGCTCTCTGCTCCATTCCCCTCCTGTGCCCGTCCTTCCCTCCTGGCACAGGGGCGATTACAGCGCCGTCCTGACCTTGACACTGGGAGGAGGAGCTGCAGCCTCGCTCTGCAGTCACACGGCGGCCGGGATGGACCTCCGCCTTTCCACACACGGTAGAGCCGCAGTCTGTACCTTGCTGGGACATGGACTGGGATTTTGAGGAATCCACGGGGCAGTCCTGAACAGTGGATTCACAATATAAATCCAGAACGTAGGCTATCTTTCCGTCTATATTTAGACCTTTAGAACTGGATTAAGTTTAAATGTTAGAATTCAGACTGACCGACTTAGGTTCCAGTATGTACTTCTAACAAGTTTTCAGTTTAGTGATTATACTAGTTACTTTTATTGTTGCTGAGACAAATAGCTGACACCCAAAGTTAAAGGCGGACAGGTCTGTTCTGGCTTAGTTTGTAGAGGTCTCAGTTCAGAGTCCGCTGGCTCCCTGGCAGGGCGGCATGGCAGAGGAGCAGCAGTGCATGGCAGGCAGAAGGCAGAAGTCAGCAAGGAATGAAGTAGCCAAGCAGCAGCTAGCACCAAAAGCAGCCCTCTCTGTCCCTGGTATGCCACCCACCCTTGGGGCGTGGCACTCACACCCAGGGTGGGCCTCCCCAGTGTCCACACTCAGAGCTGTGCCAGACCAGTCAGACGGCTTCAGTCACCACACACCCTCGATCCCAGCATCACGCACTCGAGATCCAGCCACCTCTGAAAAGCTCCCCCGTGACAGAACGAGGCTTGGGGGAACAGCAAGACACAAACCTCAACAGTGATTGTCCTTGAGTTTCCAACACAGACCTTAACCTAAGTCCACCCTTGAACATCTGAGTCTGTCACAGGCACTGTGGGTACCTTGTGCCCCGCTCCGGCCCTCCCCTTGGCCTTCCTTTCACGTGTCCATCTGGGCAACAGTAGGGTCTCTTAGCCACCTCCAGTGGGCACTTGGAACCACGGGTGGCACCGGCTCTGGGCAGACTGTGCTTATTCCTGTACGTACACACCTGTGAGGAAGTTTATCAAACAGCCACAGCAAAGGATGAACAGTAACAGCAAAATACAACTACAGTAATATCCTTCACAAAAGCCATGTGAGTTTGGTTTTTCTCTCTGGAAACCTCTTCCTGTACTCTGCTTACAGCTTTTCTTGTGCTTCGGGGATGAGGCAGTGCCTACGGGCGAGAAGAGTGAGCAGACGGTGTGAGCAGGGGACAGTGTCAGCTCCTCCCTGCGGGTCACCAGAACACAGGCACTGACCAAGCCAGCAGCCACGTGACTAATGGGCCGGGAGCAACGCAGCCGGTGTGGACACACTAGGCAGGATGGCCCAGGCCCCAGGCAGGAGACAGCAGGACGCTGTGAGACTCCACAGCGCCTCTCAGAGCAGCATGCAACTCAGAATCCATCGGCTGTTTATTTCTAGAAGTTTCCATTTGATATTCCTGGCTGTGGCTGACCATAGGCAACAGAAACTGAAAAACAGAACTGGCTGGGGCGGCACCGCTGTAATCACAGAACACACTGCCATGATTATGATGAACGTTACCAGTGTTTTTAGACCCGTCAAGAACAAAGACATTTATTTCCGTGTTGATTTCTTCTCTGTCACGCTTTCTGGTGCTGCCCTGCATTTGTATCCTGACTGCGTCCCGATCTTCCTTCCTGCTAAAGAAATGAACATTTCTTGAACGGAAGGTCTGCCAGCTGTGACTCCCCTCATCTTGCTTGTCTGCGAGAGCCTTTGTTCTCCTTCATCTTTAAAGAATAGTTTGGCTGGAATTATATAAATACCACATTGGTGCATTTTCTTCCTTCTGTATTTGAACATTTCACTCTACTGCTCTTGCCTGCCTGATTGATAAGAAGTCTACAGTGATTCTTATTCTTGCTGGTCTTATTCTTGCTGGAAGGGGGCTTTTCCTGACAGTAAAAGATTTTCTTTTCAGATTGTACAATTTTAATGTGAAATGTCTGTATTGCCCCACCCCCTTAAAAATAAAATCTATCAGGCTTAGTGTTCTCTGAGCATCCTGCATCTGTAGTTTG